TTCTGCTCTGCGCAGGTGAGCGATATTGAGTCCCCGTGCTCAGTAAACTGTACACCTGGCCGTTATTCTCCCACTGAATCCGGTGTCTCCACGGTCCAACACGTGCGCGTAAATGGTGCTGACCGGTTCCGAAACACACCAAAACACCTAGTAGGCAGATTAATACAAGCACTGACTTCTCCATGGCTCAATGTGAAGGTGTCTCTATGTGGAGAGGTCTGACACTGAGGCATTAACGACGAACATTTGAGTTTGACCTGGGTGATGGGGTGGTGTTTTGAATACACTCAACTCCGTCACGCAGTTACATCACCACTGAGAGACTTCGTGTAGAGGCGTCTTCAAATGTTTGTAATGTGAGTTACTCTCAGAAAAAAAGGGTTTTCACATGTACAGCAAGGAGCTACACTTATGTCCCAGATTAACCATTTCCCCACCGTCCAAGTAGAATCCTGGAACTAACGGTGCACTGAAAGCAATTAAGCCTACTAATATCTGTATGGAACTTAATTTCCTTGTAGTCTATTGGCACATTTCGCATAAGACACATTAGGGACTGTCAGTGTTAGTGTATGTCTTTAGTTGCACAGTGTACCGCTGGGCTTTAATGAACCTATTGAATCCCCACTCTGGGGCCAAGTCGACCTCTTCACCACATGATGGCAGTGGATCCTCACTGACAGTCAGCACTCTGACTATTTGTTTTTTTATCAAAGTCTTGTAAGTTTTAGTGTTAGCACGTAACGGCCCGTTGATTCAGCTTTGATTGAAGGGAAGATATAAATGCCAATGAAGTGACTTGAAGTTTTTTCCTCAAAATTTTGGATCCAGATATCATGTATTTCAAACGAACTTGTATTCACGAGTCTCCCTTAATTAACCTTCAAACCCTAAATGTATGCATGTATACTTAATTAACCTTCAAACCCTAAATGTATGCATGTATACTTAATTAACCTTCAAACCCTAAATGTATGCATGTATACGTATATTTAAGAAACAGAACACCTATCTTCTCTCCCAAAGCATGTCTGCCCTTCAAGTCTTGTTATGTGACATACTTCAAAGTCAGGTCAAGGTCAGGTCATATAAATAGATCACTATAAATCACTGTGGAGCTTTAAAGGGCTTATTGATCTCTTCATTCAGTTGCAGACCATTTAGATGAATATTTTTAAATTTTTTTTTATACTATATTGATCCCTTTAAGGGGGAAATTTGCCTCTCTGCATTTGACCCATCCCTGTATATAGGGCGCAGTGGGCTGCCAATGACAGGCGCCCAGGGAGCCTGGGATTCAGTGTATTGCTCAGGGACACTACGACACGTCCCCGTTGACCTGCTGGTTCCCAGACAACCCTCTTAACTCAGTCAGCCACGGTCACCCCACGAATATATCCCCATAACAGTAACATGAAGACTTTGCCAGACTGTTCAATGTCTTTCAAGGTTGTGATTGTTTAAATATAATATGTACATGTTTTGCGATGAGAAACTGGTATTTATTGGTAACAATAAAAAGAAAAAGACATGAGGCTCAGTCCTCACTCCTCTTGTTGATTGACAGATCAACAAGTCATCATACACATTACAAACGGCTATAAAAAACAAATATCCCTCATAGTGTTTTTCTGTAGGACAAAAAGTGGATTAGGAGAGTGAGACATGCTGAAAGAAACCCTCTAAATAACTCCATTGAAGTCTATTGATGTTCAAAACGTGTAACACCTTATTTTATTCTTCTCAAACATGCAAACCGTCATGGCCTGAAGTAATCCAGCATAACGCGTGAACAATAACAGACAAAAAACATAGCAAACTATACATCCACCAGAGGACAGTCACAGGTCAGCCTTATGTGGTGCGTACGTGCAACGTATATATACACACAATGATGCGGTTGTAGTATGGGGGAGGCCCTCACCTTTGCCTTTATTTTGTGTCATTCATCATGTGGCTCAGCTGTTCTGGCTGCTTGGACATGTGAACAGACTTGTAGAAAGTATACGTGGTGCAAGTCACGAGTGTGCATGGTGACAAAAAGCACACTCTGGATTAGTGGAGGTCAGAGTGTATAAAACCTCCTGTATCTGCACCAACACTACAAGAACCCTCTAAATATACTCACACACCCTGGCAAGCACCCAGAGCCTTTCTGCAATCTGTGCAAGTATAAATCCATGAGTGAGTGTGAGAAACACGAGCACGGTAGGTGTGTGTGTGTAAGTGTGAGTAAGTCGTGGGACATGATCACAGGGTCTGTTTAGCTCAGGCAGGCTGTAACCGGATGGGTGTCATTGCTCCAGCTTGTCGGGTGGTCTATCACAGTGTAAGCCTTTGAGATCTCTCCAGCCAGTGATACTGCTCTGTCCCTAACTCGTTGACACACATGATTTAAACCCCCAGCCATCCAACAACATCAATGAAGACTGGCTTCAGTTTCCATTGTAGTTTCTTGGGAGGTTAAAGTTACAGGGTTTTAACAAGAAACCCGTTTGTTTAAAATGTTCAGATATTGTAGCCTACTTTATACTTAGCTGCATTTTGACAGCCTGTGTATTAAAATGTCTGCATACCAAATGATCAGTTAGTTAAATAAATGTTGAACGGTAAATAAACTGCACTAAAGACCTTCAGCATCTTGCTTAAGGACACATCGACAGGTGGACAGGGAGGAGCTGGGGATTGAATTGAATTTACGAAAAATGTATAATTACCCAGCTGAACAAAAAGGGTTAAAATAGAAATTAGAAGTTTTTATTTTTCATATCCATGTACAGTATACGTATATTGCATTGGTTTTGTTATTCATATGAAAACTAAAATTGCATTTAACTGAATTCAATAATGTCGTGTTTATGATTATTGCATTCAAAACGTAGCTCCCTCCGAACCTGCGGTGTACTTATCCTGCAGTGGGTTACAGACAACCAAATTGAACTAAAGGACAGTACTTGAGAGGATGTACTCGGTTATTCTCCACCACTCGGTTTGAATGTCAACATGGAGACAGCAAACTTGAAGTTGCATGCTAAAACAATGAGAGATTCTTTCCATGTAGGTAATAAACCTCAGTGTCCTGTGACTCACGCACATAGAGAAGAGGTTTGTGAATCCAAAACAAAGACCTATAACTTCCCTGATTCCTCAGCAGCTCACTGACACCGTGGTGCCTGTATTCCGTTGTTGTTCTTACTCAAATGGGGCCGTTTAAAACATGGTCAATTTAGTAGACAGGAAAAAACTTCATCAGATTTACTCACACTGAATCAAAATAAGGGAGTTTATTTTTTACACTTACCAAAATATTGGGAACAAAGAGCAGTGGAGGACAGGTCTGAGAGTTATATTACTGACTTTATAGAGGCCCAGCATGCCAATGGATCAGTCACATGATTCACACAAGCTGTGAGTAACGAGGTCACGTTTGTACAGGAAAATATCTAGACTGGATTTTGTCTTCACTGTAAAGCTGCTTGGTATAATTAAGGCACCGTTTCGCACTTGCCTTTCCTTGTGTGGTGAAATTTGCATTATTAGATTGGGGCACCATTACCCAAAATCAGGGATGGATGTTAATTTAGATTTTTTTTTTCCTGACCGACCCTTAAAAACCCACCCAGCTGCAACAATAACTGGAGCACCGGACAGGACTGGGGACACATGCAGCCCTTTTCCTAGTATGTCGTAATTCTATTTTTTATAAAATAAAACTATGCCAAAGATAATTCTAAAATAAAACATGTACATAAATAGACTCAAATCATGTCAATCGACTGAACCAACTTAACTTCTAAAAGTGCAATGTATATAAAGATTATTGATTAATGTGTTCATTCATTAAGCCCATAAACGTTTGTGTGGCTGATATGGAAAGTGTAACACTTTCAGTGGACTTTTTACTGCTAATCGTCAAGTTGCTGCGACCGGTGTTTTCTGAGTTAGATCGTCTAAAGAGGACGTCTCATGTCTCTGCAATTAATGCAATCCTCAATGTGTTTTGTCATCAAGTATTTTGCTAACATTAACTGTTGACACATGTCCTCCAAATTGAAGTTAAAAAAAAAAGCAAAAAAAAAAAAAAGCAAGTTGTTTGCATCCCTGCAAAACACAGATATTATCGTCTTTTCTCCTTGAACAGACCCGCATGTGTGCGTGTTTTAACAGTCATCACACATACTGATGTCATTTTTAGCACCGGGAGTCCAGGCCAGTGTGGTTTACTCCACGTCCACCTGCTGGAGCCTCACAACAATCACCTTGTCACTCAATTTCCACAAGACACACACACACGACAGATCACACGTACAAACAGCTGATGTCATCAGGAATGGGAAGACAGGTCGTTATTTTAATAGGCGTCAAACTGAATGGGAACATATAGATGCACTACTTTTTCAAATTAACAGGAGACCTGTAGTTAACTACCGTTTTATAACCAAGAATTTATTCAACTCGGACTCAAAAATGAGCCAAATCACTTTTACTTTCAGACAGATTTTGATGCCAAAATGGTCTTTGTTCTTCTAATGGCCGTCAACGTACTTTGGGTGAAGAATACATGCACCTACCTGACCCGTTCTTTATTTAGCTGTGGTATGATGAGCTGCTCACACTAACTCTGTGACAGCATAAGGTATTCACTCAGGGGAAATGAGAAATTATTCTGGCCTCGCATGGAAACATAGGTGATGACGGCCTCGTGTGCTGTAAATCTGGTGTGTTAGTCTAAATCTTGTGGTTAGTCAATGACTTACTCATGGGGACTATCAAGTCCTGATCCCAGGTCTGGGATGAACAACCCACACTAAATGAATTCCTAGGTGACAAGATGAAACTGTCCAAACAACTACCAATACTCAAGTTTATCAGTATTTACAACTATTAAAGGAAATATGTAGTTCTCATGCAAGCTCATTATTATATTGCAAGTTCATAAAAACCCAACTGCTAAATTGAATTTTGTGAAGACAAGAAAATAGAGATTGTTTATGTTCTGTATATCAACAGCAACTAATGCATTTATTTGTAGGAGAATGCGACAAATGTTCCAGTACAAGTCAGTGGTTTAACATAACAGTAACATAGTATGTTCTGGTTCAAAAATGAATTAAAAAACAAAAAACACAAAACCATATTGACCATCTGAAGATGATAAAAACAAACAAAAAAAAAAAAAAACAATGATAAGTTAACATTGCTTTGTTTCAGTCACAAACAAAGAATAAAATTAGAAAAACGTCATAAAAAAAGAATCCATGGGACTATTTACAAGCTCTGTACAGGGATGAAGGAGTCTTCCTGCTGCAAGAAAGACAGAAAATAGTAATACCGTTAGGAGTTTGTACACTTTTACAATTGGACCAGTTCATATACATTTGTATTTTAGAAAACATGCATTTTGATGAGTTGTCCCTCAAATGTGGCAGATTTTTGAAACTAGGACATTAGACATCCCTAAAATGTAAATTCCCTTCAAATTGGAAACAGTGACGCACTTAAATCGGTCTTCTTATCTATAAACGATTGAGCAGATTGTTCTGAATGTCCTCATACACCTGGTTGTAGATGATCTCTTTGGACATCAAACCATCCAGGCACTCTGCAACAGTTAAAAAGTTCACCAGTTAAAAATCATACAACAAAAACTATTGGAAGTTGAAAATAAATGACACTTAATTTCCATGAGCAAATATGGATACATGGAAAAAAAAGACGGGCAACATACGGATATTCAAGCCACTGCTCTCCATCTCCCTCCTGTGCTTCAGGTACATCGGCCACACGTGGCCATCAAACAGGCCGGGAGGGTCGGGGACGGTGTACTGCCTCGTACTGAAAGCAATAACAAACTGTTAGAGAACGTGCACGAGCCATGACAGGATTATGGGCAAAAACAGCTGAAGTCAATGACTAGAAAAGAGTAAATGTGAGAATGTATTCTTTAAAATGTAGAAAAGGTAAAAACACTTTGTGTACGCTCACCTTCTCCTTCTCTTGCACTCCTCGTAGGGAATCGTGATGTAATAGCTCTTGTCGAAAACATCCAGCAGAGGCCTAGAGGGGAGATGAAGAAGGACATCGAGGATTATGCAAGTTTTCAAACAAACTAGAGAAAAAGGACAGTAGTGACTGCCCATACCATCTCATATCTATCTCTCTGCAGTGGGCTTGATATTCATCTCTAGCACACAGTGTCCACCAAGCAGCAGTGCGCTTTAAGGACAACTAACAGAGTCTGCTGAAACCCTTATCTTTAACTGCAGGACCTGCCTGAAGGGGTACACGTACCAATAGTAAGCATGCAAAACGAACATGTGACATTACAGAAATAACGTATACAATCTTTGTCGTCATACATTTCTCAGTATTGGCAAGAAACAGACTGTTCCCCATCACTGAAAATTACGTAATGTGAACGAGAGACGTCATTCATTTAGAGCCAGATTTAAAAACACAGAATAAATTTTACATTGTGCAAATAAACAAAAATGCTAATCACACACACACACACACACACACACTTACAGGTAGTTGTAGAGCAGGAAGCCCTCCACGATCAGAATGTGGGTCTGCTCGTCTGGGTCGGCCACGTCGGATGCAGAAGACAGAGGGACTCCGTGGGAACGGGCGAACTTCACTGGGTTCTCGATCCAGCCTTTTAACGTGTTGGTCATGGCCTCCATATCCATGGCGGTTATCACTACAGAGCAAAGTGGATAGAAGAGGAAGGGAAAGGATAGATAGTGAATTAGATTAGACGTTATTCAAGAATATAAAAAATTGAAAATGTGTTTTTGCATTTTGCACCAAGTTACGAGAGGGTATGAGCTTAATGTTGTGCGGTGTATGTAATGTTGGAGGGAGGAGCTATATGACATCAAAGTGTAAACAATAAGTCTTATGCAGTCTTTAGTGAAGTCTTACCATCCCATTGTCTAAAGCCGTCCTCACCGACTTCTATCTGATCGGGTTTCTGAAATAACATTCACCAATAAAACATTGCTGCAACCTCACGGCTCTGAACAAAAGTGGCAGATTCTACTCGCATGCAAAGAGTACTACGGCTAGAGAAGAGCACACACACACACACACACACACACACACACACACACACACACACACACACACACACACACAGAAGAAAAGGGAAAGGCGCAGAGCAAAGGGTATGCACAAAACTAAGCAAGGAATTAACTAAATGACACAGCTATGAAGAAATTGGGGGGGGGGATTAATCACTATATATTGTGAAGGTGCTAATGGAAATGAAGTAGAGAATAGATGCACAGGCCATGTTTGAATATTGTTAATTGATTGAAGGGCTGTTATACGGCTATATTCAAAGGACACAAGAAGCAGTAAGAAGGGACAAGCAGGTAGAGGAACTATGCTCCAAAGACATTAAGCTCATTTCTATAGCTACTGTGGGGAACACAGTGTGGCATAGAGTGGCAGCACTCACTACTTTGCTCACATGCAAAGCAGAGTTAAACAAGGAAACCGCTGGCTAACAAGAACACTTTTTATTGCTAAAACTCGCCTTGAAAAAGTCATCTTGGTGCACAACACAGCAGTTGGGCAGAGTCTTGGTCAACTTGTTTGTCAGGGTGGTTTTGCCACCATTCGTGACTCTGTAAACAAAAAGCAAAACGTGATAAAAAATGTAAATTAATAATGTGTTGCCAGCTACAGGTTTGATTTTAAACTATTTGGATTTGCAAGATTTCCATCAAAAGTGGTGGCGTGGTGCCATTTGTTTACATGGTGACTCAAAGTTTAGTTAATTTATACAGGGAAAAGGACACATTAGCCTTAAACACGGTTAAGTGTGTGCGTGCGCGCGCGTGCGTGATTAAAAAGTAAACAAATGGTGGTGAATAAAAAGCACATGCTCAGTTTTCATAATAGCTGAAATAACATGGATTAAATATAGTGTATTTTCAT